TCAAATCTCTTCAGCAAACGACCTTCACCAAAGTATTTATACTCAACATCAAGCCTTAGACAAATATACTTTGATCGAACCAAACACCCTCTCTTTGTTCTACTGCAAACAAATATTGTAGCTCTCTAAGACCTGCTGTGTAACAAGTTAGAGAAGAAAGAGAGAACAACACTGGTGAGGCATTGTATCAAAAGAGACGAGTGATATAGGAACTGAGCTATCACAACATTTCTATTGTACTCGAAGAAACGCATTTACTAAAGAGAACTCCCTTGCAACCCAAGGGGACTGGACTAGGATTTACATTGAATCCGAACCAGTATAAAAATTCCGGTGTCTTTAATTCCTGCATTTACTTTCTGCATCTTGTATTCTGCTATTACAACTGTTAGTTTGTTACATCTAGTCGACTAATTGAAAATCCAGTCAACTAACAGAGATTAAGTTTAAAAATATATAATTCACCCCCCCCCTCCTCTTGTACTTTCAGTCGAGATAAAATCAACATGAAAAATTTATACAGTTAAAAAAGTTAACAATATTAGAGTCGAAATTTTTCTGCTAATGTGAAGTATACATAAAGATTATTGTACATTGTGCAACAATACCAATAATAAGTTATATTTTAATTTGACACTATCTTCACGGTTTAGTTAAAATGATCAATAATCAATTAAGACTAATAAGATTTTACAATTTGGGTGTACATAGTCTTCGTCTGATTTAATATGCCAAATATTTGCGAACTATATTTCGCTACCCTTAATTCTAACTGATTAATAATATTCAAGTGAGTAAAATAAAAGTAAAGTGTTTGTGAGATTCAATTTGATTTCGTGAACATGTGGATAAGACAAATGCCATTTGAATAGTCAAATAAGATTTTCTTTTGACAATATTTTTTGAATTTTCTTTTAAAATATTTTGGATTGTTTAGCTATTGTAACTTATAGCATTTTTATGTTGCCTTTAAATATATATGTTAATTTAGTTTAAAAAATTTATGTTAGAACTCATACAGAAAAATTAGTCAGTTTAACCTTGTACTTTAAACTATGTCACATAAAGTAGAATAGAGGAGATAGTATAAAATATGAATAGCTTTCCCTATCGAGAAAGTCTTGCCATTAAATTTCTTAATTTGGCATGTTTAGACCAGAGCGCCTCAATGATGATTTAGTCATCGTAGTCCGGAGAGAAAATCTAGTAAGAAGGGAAAGTGGTCAATTATAGTACTTCTCTGGTCCTTTGGCAAGTTTGCATATACTGTTCCATTGCTTTGCAATTTGCTCGTACTCGCACCGCCTCTTGAGGTCATCGGTGCAGCTACTTCTTTAGCTCCAACGTTCGTCATCAGTGTCAATTGTTGAAGTAATTTAGTCGTTATGGAAGTTGTTTTGATTAGGCTTTTAGTCAATTGTTGAAATATTTTAGACGTGATTTTAATTAGCGTTTTAAGATGAAACAATTTTGTATATACTTTCACGTACTTTTATGCCTTCTTAAAATTTTCATAACTTTTATATGATTTTACCTTATGTTAATATTTATTTTTATTATGAATCATCATGCTATACTCGCGGGGAAGGAAAAACGAGCAGTTTATGCTTTAGTAGCTACCGATTCACTAGCTCTAGCATTCACAGGTTTTCAAGGAATGGATTATTATCAAGCACCCTTCACTATTTCAGATATTATTTATGGTCCTACCTTTTTCATAGCAACTGGCCAGCACTAGAGTGGGATAAATAAACCTTGCTTTAGTTGAAGCCTCCTCATGTCCACGACTGGTTGAGGTCACGGCAATGCCCTCTTGGTCACTTGCTTGTTAAGCGAACCACTAATGACGAAGTGCCCCATACCCGCACTAAGGGGTAAGGTATGGAAGCAGTCTGATTATTTCTACTTGAGTTGACTTAAGTCTTTCTCTCCTTGTACAATCTTGGCTCCACCTGTTATCTCCTTCTATGATATGCTGTTGTCGTCGCCATATTCCAAATGTCACTTAGTCATCTTTGCCTCGCTGCGGGTCAACACCTTCGAAATGTTAAAGTTAAAAAATAAAAATTAAAGATTCATAGGACTTATGCCACGCGCCTCGAGGCTTACGCCTAATCCCATATCAGGCAAAACCACCTCGCTTTATGCCCCTGCTTTTTAAAACACTGCACATAATTATACGCCAAAAAGTTCAAATGGATATCGTACAGATTTATCTCCTGCTACTCAATATATTGTTATAATAATGATGTGTGCTAGTCGAGATCAAATCAACATGAAAAATTCATACAGTTAAAAAAGTTAACGATATTAGAGTCGAAATTTTTCTGCTAATGTGAAGTATACATAAAGATTATTGTACATTGTGCAACAATACCAATAACAAGTTATATTTTACTTTGACACTATCTTCATGGTTTAGTTAAAATGATCAATAATCAATTAAGACTAATAAGATTTTACAAATTGGATGTGCATAATCTTCGTCTCATTTAATATGCCAAATATTTGCGGACTATATTTCGCTACCCTTAATTCTAAGTGATTAATAATATTCAAGTGAGTAAAATAAAAGTAAAGTGTTTGTGAGATTCAATTTGATTTCGTGAACTTGCGGATAAGACAAATGCCATTTGAAGAGTCAAATAAGATTTTCTTTTGACAATATTTTTTGAATTTTCTTTTAAAATATTTTGGATTGTTTAGCTATTGTAACTTATAGCATTTTTACGTTGCCTTTAAATATATATGTTAATTTAGTTTAAAAAATTTATGTTAGAATTCATACAAAAAAATTAGCCAGTTTAACCCTCGTACTTTAAACTACGTCACATAAAGTAGAACAGAAGAGATAGTATAAAATGTGAATAGCTTTCCCTATCGAGAAAGTCTTGCCATTAAATTTCTTAATTTGGCATGTTTAGACCATAGCGCCTCAATGATGATTTAGTCATCGTAGTCCGGAGAGAAAATCTAGTAAGAAGGGAAAGGGGTCATACAAGCAAAAACAAGCGCGACAAAGACAAGTGTCTTAGTCATTTTATCATCATTTTATATAACTTAGATTTGATCGCCGTTTTAATTTATTATTGCAAGTTCTTCCCATTTGATATGTTTAGGCCAGGGCACCTTGACGATGATGTAGTCACAACAATCCTCAGATGGGGATCTGGTAAGATCGGAAAGGATCCAACAAGAGATACCAAGCACGACAAAGATAAGTATCTTTATTACTCCACCATTTTATATAACCTAGATTTGATCGCCATTTATATTATTACAGAGAATAAAATTCTTCCCAATCAGGCATGTCTAGACCGAGACGCCTCAACAATGATGTAGTTGCAGCAGTCTTCATAGGATATCTTGGTAAGATAGGGGCCAAGCAAGCAATGCTAAGCGTGACAAAGATAAGTATCTATTTGAATTCCTCACAATTTCATATAACCTAGATTTGATCACCATTTATATTTATTATTGCTAAAGTAGTTCTTCCCAATCTGGAAATTTATAGACTTAGGTGCTTCGATGATAATGCAGTCGCAATAGTCTTTTAATGGAAAATCTGCTAAGATCAAGAAGGGGCCAAACAAGCGATGCCAAAAACGAAAAACATAATTATTTTCTTCAATTCTGCACCATTCTATATAACCTAGATTTGATCGCTATCTATACTCATTCCTAAAGTAAATTTTTTCCCATCTTGCTACAACTTTTCCTTTTCTTTAGTTTTACACGCACTTCGAAAAACGTGACTATACTGCAATGTTTAGGCAAAGAAATTGACTATTTTATTTAAAAAAAGTTTAGTAACTTTAGCGCAATAATTTTTTTTTTATATAAAGACGAGAACAAATAAAATAAAGTGAAGCTTTGGGTTGCTGAAGTTTCAACCTGTCTTAGAAATTGACTTCACGACTAATGAGTACATTAGGGAGGCACAGTGACATATATATTATATGAACTTATGTTTGTAATTAAAACTAAACATTTCAAATTCCTAACATATTTAAGTTGATCAACGACACCAGGACGATTGACTAAGCTGGACCATGGCAAACTCAACCAAAGTACAAGTATAAATTCCATAAAGTTACATTTCTTTAATCACTTCCTTAAGCAATGCTTACACTGATGTCAATCATAAATAGCTCAATTCCTATTGTGTAGATTTGTTAGGAAGATTAGTGCAACTCTTCACTTATTCACGCCAAAACACAAATTAGTATCCCTAATCTCAAACTTAATCCTTGCAATTTATCTATTTCCCCTTGTTCATGTATGTCTTACTATATTGCACTATTGATTGTTATGTCTAGTTGCTATATGTATTTTTTGGTTAACGAGAATATGTACTAGGCCTATGATCTTATTGATACTTATAAAAATATGTAACAACTGGAATAATATATTTTATCAATTTGTTTTTTATTTTAAACATAGGCTCAAAGTAAAGTTATTTGTTGGTCGAGATAAGTCGATGTAAGATATTTATAGAATTGATAATATCAGAGCAAAAATCATTGTGTTATTGAAAAATATGCATAAAACTATTGTAACATGTGGTACAACACCATTGACACATTATGTTTGTTTTGCCATTATCATCTTACTATATAATTATTCTAATTTGCAATATCCAAGTAAGACTAGTTAGATTCTATGAATTGGATCGTGTATTATCATTCTTTGACTTACAATCCCAAATATTTAAGAATTTCACATTGCCCACATGTATAGTTAGTGTTATTATTTTTCTTTATATGGTTAAATTATAACATAATATCCTTAAAAATGAAAAAGTTACTTAAATTGTACAGTTGAAAATTTAATCTTTAGATGAGTTTGAAATTAAATACTACACAATCCACAACAGAAAAATACATAATACACTGTACCAACTAACTCTGGTTATCATGAAGTAAGTGTTAGAACAAGGTTAACCCACGTTAGTCAGTGACTCCTATATAAAGAATCCAAACTTATTCAGTGTTGGCAGCAGAAGCAAAAAGAGTATTCAGAGCTCGTGCCAAATGTTGTGGCCATAGCTTGCAAAATGCAAGAAATGAAGTTCACGCCTTTGCAAATTTTGGCCTTTTATAACCTTTGGTGAGTGACCCTTTTGATTTTGGATTGAACTTTTGCTCTTTCTAGTTTCACTGTTGATATATGTATGTATCGAGAATCAATTTTTTCCTTTTTTTGGTAAGACTCCTTTTCCAGGTTTATTGATTATATTTTTGCCTTAGTTTATTTGGGTTTTTGAAGATTTTTCTCGATTGTTGTTTTTTTTTTTTGGCCAGAATTTGAGCTCGGATTTTGATTGATAAATTGTTACGTTTTTTTTTTTGGTGCAATTCTGATGCTTGATTTTCCCCCTTTGATTCATTTGAGTGATTTTGTTGCAGAAGATCAATTTGTTTGGCAGCTCATTTACTGTGACTCAGAGGTAATCTTCTTCTTTTTCATTTATTTCCATTTCCTTGATAATGTTGCTGGTTTATTATGCTTATTAGAGCTGTACCTTTTGTTGCATTTCTGTTTGGATAATTTTATGTTGATGTTATGTAGCTTATCAAGGAACGATGCATACTTGTTTTTTCCTTTGTTTTTGCAATTTCTGAGACTCTGCTGCTATGTTCCTTTGAGTAATTGAATTACAGCAGAATTTGCATTCCTCATTGAATATTAATTCTTTGGCTGCTTCACCCGAATGATAATGTTGCTGCTTTTATCCTGCTCACTACACTTGTTCTTGTTGATTTTCAGCCTGTCATTTTTGTTTTTGTTATTTAGCCTATCAAAGAAACATTGATATGTGTTTTTACCTTTGTTTGACAACTCCTTTTTTTCTCTGCTGCTATGTGTTATCTTAACTTTTAATCCGCACACACACACCGACATTATTACCTAATGGCGTCTTGCTGCAGGATTGGGAACCGCAGATAGACACTTGAATGATCAAATTGCAGTAGTATTTGTAAATCTCATAGACAACATAATCAAAATGGTTGATGATAACAGCACTGATGATGCCAATGAAAAGTCATTGGTGCTTTCGGACCAGGAAAAAGGAAGTAGGAACAAGAGGAAGTTCTTATCTGAGTTTCCTCCTAGTGATTCACCTGTCCTGTCTCTTACTGAGTTTCCAAGATATGAATTATTAGAGAAAAAACTGCAAAGCACTCTTAATCAGCTCAAGTCATTGGATGGTGGGTGTCAACAAGGAGTGGAAAGGTCTGCAGATGCAGATTGGGAAGAACCAATAACATGTCAACTCGAGGAACTTTTATCACAAAACTTGTCTGCTACTTTCCGGAGTGCAGTCAAGAGGATTGTTGAGTGTGGATACAGTGAGGAAATTGCTGAACGGGTTATATTGAGGAGTGGCCTCTATCATGGTACCAAAGATACCGTCTCAAATATTGTTGATGGTGCTTTGGCTTTACTGAGTAGGGAAAAGGATTTTGATACCTCTAGACATCTTGCATTTTCTGATTTACATGGGCTGGTAGAGTACACCATGCTGGAGATGATATGTGTGCTGAGGGAGGTTAAACCAGCTTTCACAGTTGCTGAAGCAATGTGGTGCCTCTTAATATGGGACTTGAACCTGGTACATGCATGTACAGTGGAAGGTGATATTCTTGATGCGTTATGCAGGCAAGAAAGTCCAGGCAACAGCTCGAAGACTGAGGCTTCTGAGACTACTCTGTCAAACCCGGATAAACTACAGTTGTCAAAACCTTCCATCCCCATTGCTCAATCCAAAGTTGCTGTTGCTAGTGCAGCCCCTCAAGAACCGACTTCTAAAAATTCACATGTTCGTCAAGCGGCAATAGGGAAAGGAAGTTCAGTAGCTCTTCCAGAAGCAGAGGCTAAATCCTTACCCACCAGCAGCAGGGGGCATAAGCAGAATCCCTCGAAAGCAGCAGTGTTAGAAGATAAGTCGGGAGCTGGTAGAAAGGGGTCATCCCTAAACTCCAAGAAGGATCTTCTTCGGCAAAAGACATTTCAGTTTGAGAAGAATTACAAAGGCCGTATGGGTAAGGGTTCCATTAAGGCAAAACTCTCTGCCTGGGGCAATATGGTTTTGGACAAGACACTCAACCCTCCGTCAGGTTCTTCTGGTGCAGCGACGAAGAGTTCTTCCTCTAAAGTAAATACTTCAGTTAAAAACAATAGTCCTATAGCAGAAGGAAGTTCTGATAGTCTATGCCCTTGTTCATCCACTGCACCTGCAACTGACGACTCTGGCGTGCAAGATACTATTATTCCATCGCCCGCTGTAAACAAAAAGGATCCTTCATCATTAGCTTTGGATCCTAAGTCTAGTGTAAAGGCCCCAGGCGGCAGCACAACTAGCTCTTCTGAGGTTCCAGATTATTATGCTGGTATCCCGTATGATGAGTCTCTGGGGAAATATGTCCCTCGAAATGAAAGAGATGCTACTATTTTGTTGCTAACTCCCCATATGAAAACACTGCAGAAAGAGCTCCAACGGTGGACTGATTGGGCAAATGAGAAGGTAATGCAGGCTGCTCGGAGGCTTGGCAAGGACCAGGCGGAGCTTAAAATGTTGAGGCAAGAGAAAGAAGATGCTGAAAGATCTCAAAAGGAAACACAAATGCTGGAGGAAACCACCACGAAGAGGCTTTCGGAGATGGAGCATGCATTGTCAAATGCTAGTGGCCAGATTGAGTTGGCTGGTTCTACTCTTCACAGGCTGGAGGGGGAGAATGCTGTGCTAAAGAAGGAGATGAACGCCGCCAAGCTCTTTTCCGCAGTGTCTGCTATAAACATGCATAAAGCTTTAGCAACAGAGCAGGAGACAGTGAAGAAGTATCAAGCAGGAGAGGTGGAGAAGCGCTCATTGCAGGAGGAACTCTCTATGCTCAAGCATGAAACATCTGATTTACAGCAGCGACAAGAGAAAGTCAACAAGCGCCTGGACCAGTTTGAGGTATTTCTATTCTGGGAAAGTTCTTTTGCTTAGTTGATCAAAGTTTTACTTTTTTCACAAATATAGTTAGTGTTTTTAAGGCCTACCTGTTGTACAACCGGTGGTAGATGTTTAGGCTGTCAGTAACTTGTTGTTATAGTTCAATTATAATGTCAGTTCTTTTCTACTTATAGCCTCCAGTAATAGTTGTTCCAGCATTCACTTTTGTAGTCCTGCTGATAATTCATAGTGCTATTTGATATTCCTTCTAGTATAAATGCTAGCACATTAAAGAAACTTGCAAGACTTTATTCTGTGATTTTCTCCTGAGAAAACAAAGAATTGCAGGTTCTATGGAAGCAGGAGGAAAGGCAGAAACAAAGGTTTGTACAGCAAGCTGATTCCTTGAAAGCTGAAAGAGAGCAACTCGGTGTTCAGGGAAAAGCAGCGGAGGATAATTTGAGAGAAAAGGCAGAGAGCAGCATGCAAAAGCTTAAAGAAAATATCCAAAAGCTTGAGAGTGAAATCTCTCAGTTGAAATTGCAGTCTGAAAGTTCAAAAATAGAGGCACTTAAAAGAGGCATTAATGTGGGGCTACCTCCTAATATCAGAAAGAGTTTAGCAGGCTATGAGGATAATTTTGGCTCTACAGTAAAGATGGAGAGGGAGTGTGTTATGTGTATGACTGAGGAGATGTCGGTGGTTTTTCTCCCTTGTGCACATCAAGTCCTTTGTGCAAAATGCAACATGCTTCATGAAAAGCAAGGAATGAATGACTGCCCTTCTTGTAGGACCCCAATTAAGATGCGGATTAATGCCCGCTTTGCTCATTCTTAACAGTTAGCAACGCGAAAACAGTGACAGGAAAAAGGAGCTGGTCGTTGGAGGAATGATGTTTCAGAGCCAAGACATTTTTCGTTTTTTAGTATGTCCTTTTTTGAGGCCTTTCTTTCATACCTTAACTGTAATATCAATAGGAAAATGCAAAAAAAGTATAGATATGTAGAAAGTAATGTGAAAAAGAGTTAGAAAGAGGGACTGGTTAATGAGCCTTGTAAATGCTTACTTTGAAGGTTTTATACAAAATGTTGTTCTCTCTGTTTTCTTCCCATTATTAGGTAATATACTACTTAGCAGGAGAACTTGTTTTTTAAGATTTTCCTCAAGCATTTTTGACAGCGGGTTGGTTACACCTTTTCAGTGATTAGATTTTGTTCAGCTTGAAAATCTTGATACAGATTATTGGAAACAAAATCAGACTCCCAAATATCCTACCTCAACACGCTTGTATCATTCGTAGAAGGTGATGGATTTCTGTAGAAATGACATACTTTAAGGGGCTGCTATTTAAATTAGGCAGTGCGTCCTGAATTTCAGTTTTTCAGACAAAAATATCATGAATATTATCCCGAAGTTGAGATTTTTAGTTTAAAATTGCAGGGCAAATTAAGTATTGGCTAATTTCTAAATAGCATCCGTGAGAATAACTATCTGTGCACTTGTACCTTACCTTGATTTCTCCTTAGCTGAATGGCCCAAGTTTATATCAATTGCACCTCAATATCAAACTAGTTGAGGTTAATTATATCAATCTTCATATAACTATTATTATTATTATTGTTGTTGTTGTTGCTGCACAAGAGGCTAGCACCCAAATTTTATGATTTCAAGCGTTTCCACTTACAAAACTTTCTTTTCTCAATTTGATAAGTAATTTGAATTTTAATGACCTGACTATATAATGGTTCTTTATTCTCAAGGTCCAAATTCGACACCTGCGTTTTAGAGCGGAGGGAACCCAATTATCCTACCACACCCCTCGGTAATACCTACAAAAACTTTCAAGTGCGGCAATTAATAATAGAGCTACACCATTTTGAGGGAGATGCATACAAGTCTCATTTGATAGCTGAAGAAAATAAATTATCCAAATCACTTGCGAATCAAAACTGCTGCATTTCTCTTAACTTAACATCAGTTCCCTAACATTTTTATGAAGCAAACAATGGCAACACTAGAGCATATGGCTAGTATAATTCGATCTTAACCGGTAATTTGCGACTACTATTCTTTAACTTCAATATTTCCTACCAGAGCTCTTTATTGTATAAAAACTGAGATAAAAAGTTTATGATTTTGATGTTGATGAACTTGAGGAAACAATGGATACAGAAATTGGTTGGAGACATAGAAGACCACCGTCCTTATTTCTCCCGTCAGTCGGTCACCATTGCATAATCCTGATCAACGTGTCTATATTGAAGTGATGAAGTGGAAAAGAGTTTTCGAAACAGCGCAAATATTCACTAAATTCATTCTCATAAACTGGTCCTTGTACATATAAAATAAACCTGAATAAGATCTATAATTAGCTCCATTTGCAACGGAGCACTTGGATGATCATATACTTGCAAAAAGACTTGCTAGGAGTAGCACGTTCTTTGATGTTATAGCCTTATAGGGACAAGATGAGATCGTCTTATTGAGAAATATTTTTTTTTGCCAGGAGTGCAACCAAACCTTCGGTTTGAGGGAATGAAATTCTTTTGTAAGCGCTTTTTCAATTATTTTCTACCGGGAGCGCTTTCCATTTTAATGCGCCTTATGCCAACACGGAGACTGAACACCGATAATTCAATCTTATGGTTCTTCATTATTTGCATATGACCATTTAGCCCTAGGTCATTTTGTCTGGACTTTTTATTATTTCTAGTCAATGGACGTGGTTATTGGCAAGAACTTACTGAATCCATTTAGGGACCACAAAAAAGGGGAACAAAAATATTACTTGGAGAAGCCAGACAAGAAGTCGATATGTCCGAGTGGTTAAGGAGACAGACTTGAAATCTGTTGGGCTTCGCCCGCGCAGGTTCGAACCCTGCTGTCGACGAAATCTTTTTTTACCGCTTGTCGTTTTTCTCTTGGTTTTGCTATTATTTGCAGTTTCTAACTTAATACATTTATGTGATAGGTCTATTTCTTCTTGCAATTGGGTTTAAACTTTTGGATGTGGCTCTTTTGTCCTTTCTTCATCTTTACTGATGCTTATATTGAAGCGTTGTAATTGGTCCTCATTTTCTTCAAACTCATCAAACCTAAGCTAGCTGGTTAGATATTGTGCTTCTCTGTGTTGTCATAATCACACGTTTTCTAGCTTTTTAAGTGTGAAATTATGACTATAATTTTGTGCAAGACAAAACAGAATAATGGAAGAAATCTACCGAAATTATTTGATACTATTAGTTAATGATGTGTTACCAAAAGTTGGACTCTATCAGAAGAGTTATGCTGGCTCTGGGGACCATCTTCTTTTGGGTACTTTTGCTTAGAATTTATAATATTAGGAGACCGCTGTCCTCACTTAACATGATCATTTATTAATTTAAGTACACAGTCTGCAAGGTCGAAATATCAGTTATGGTAATCATATAAAATTAATTACTTATTGCCACAGAAAATGCTACGTACTGCCTTGGTTTAATTTGGCTTGAAAACGAACCGCGTCCTAAGAAGCACATGATTTTTATTAATGGCATCAAGTTACAGATATTCTTCATCATACTTTTACACTAATATATTGAATTTCCTAAAAACAACTTTTAAGTATATTAGCGGAAAACAAGAACTTAAAATGATGGCGCCAAAGTTGTTCTAGTTAATCTGTTAGAGCTAGTAAGGAGAATGGAGTATCTTTAATATTGCATGTGACCAGGGCGGATCTAGAAGCCCGTCGGCCGAATTACTCAATAACTTTGCTCAAATAGTGTATGTGTTAAAAATATTTATTATCTATGCACAAGTATTGAATTTAGAACTCAATTATTAGCACTTAAAGTCGTCATTTTAACATTCAAAATCCATAAAGTTAAAATTCTGACTCCGCGCCTCTGCACGTGCTACTTGCCCCCCAAAAAAAGGCTTGTACTTGGATAATATTTCAACTTCTCCTAGTTGCAATAAATTAGAACTGTCTCTGCGCGATTACCTTTCTCCCCTTTTACTAATAAACAAATATCCATAGGCTCAAGATAAAAAGTAATTGAAGACCATCTCTTTTTGAAGTATATACTTTTCACAAAATAAATATGTTTAATTTGCGAACGGTATGTTATTTGAACGGTGAATGCAGTAATTAGACAGACATCCAAAGTTTGCACTTGCTACCAGAAAGTAATGTTGTCCGCTACTGTGTTAAAACACAAAATCAGAAAACTGTTAGAAGAATAAAAGAAACTGGAAAAACAGTAAAGAATAAGAAATATTCCGAGTCCACAATTTGCTTGTGTGTCCTTAAGGAATTTTAACCCCCTCACACGTTGCCAAGGTAATGGATTAAATCTTCCCAGGGCGAAACGGAATAAACCTTCCTGCAACAGTGGCTATACAAACTGCAGGATACCAACGAACTTAAAGAACGGAGCAAAATCACACTTACGAATTTGAGAGAGAGAGACTGCGAATTAGAATGCAGTATTTTCAGAAAGAAGGAAGTTCTGTAATGTTTTTGGTGTGTTAAAAACGAAGTCATGCCTCAGAATTTATAGGCAATTATTGGAAGATGTGTGATGTTTGTTCTGGAAAAGGTGCCTTTTCAAAAGTTTACGCGGCCTGTCGCAGTCCTACCGCGATCACGCCAGGACCGCGGCCAGAGTGGCCCTCTGAATCTGCAGCAGGGTTCTGACGCGGTCCTACCGCGGTTTACGCCAGGACCGCAGCCAGACTATCCTTCTGAATCTTCAGCAGTGATCTGGCATTTAATTAATTATTAAATAATTAATTAAATAAATTTTGTCCAAAAATAATCTTATCGATCGATCATTTGGCAAATCCAAATTCAAATCCAATCCTTCTGAATCCGGAGCCGGAGCCGGAGCCGAGCGAGCGACGACGACGGCGCGAGGGATCATTGTCTTCAACTCCTTTTAAGAGCTTTAAGAAGTGATTCTATATATAAGCACACAAATGTAGTTGTCCCTCACCAATAAGGGACAAAGTCCAAGTCAAAAGCTCACTTCATTCAAATTTTCATTTCCCTCCATTTTATTTCCCACCATTTCCAGTTCACACTCTTATACTTTAAAGCCCAATACATAAAGTCTTTCAAGCTTAATGCCTTTAAAGTCCAACAAGTAATAGAATGCAGTTATCGATAACCATTGACATAAAATTCTGAATTCGTCAGGTTTGATTATTTAGCTATGAAACCTCTCTATATACCACCCCAGCCTGATTAGAACTAGAGTGAGTATGTTTGGGATCAATGCCAGCAGAATATCCTAATCTGGCTTAGTAAACTCGCCCTCCAGTCCACTTTAAGTAATTTTTTCTGTGGTCCATAAGAAGGAATTAATTTCTTCTTTACAAAGTTGTCTTTGGAGTAAAGAGCTTAGGAGTAGTTTGTTGTATTTCAAATGAGCAAATTAAGATTAATATGGTCAATTTTATTGTTAATTAATGCTAAATGGTCAATTTTTTAATGTGTAAAAAGAGCCAAAAATCACTTAAAGTGAACCAGAAGGAATAACATATACTCCAAGAAAACTCAAAACCTTTTCTTAGGAAATCATTTATAATTGATTGAAACAATATAATATCCTCTCGAAAAAATACAAATTGGAGAAGATATTCACGAGGGTGACTATACGCAAAATACAAACATTTTTATATGAAGTTCAGACCCAATTTACAAAGTATTCCTTCCCTTTTATCTTATGTGAATGTATTTGACTTGTCACAATACTTAAAAAATAATTTTTTTTTGTATTTGTGATCTTAAACAAACCACGATATTTCAGGGGCTATAAAACCAAATTATTAAGAATAAAAAGAGAAGTTTAAATTAGGTTATTTCTGAATGTAGAAGGGAATAATAATAAATGCAATTATAACTTGGTAACCACTAATTTAAAATTCTTGATTCGTTATCTTTGTTTTAATATTTAGCTGTGAACCCTCTTGCTTCCAGCCCCAACATGATAGAATTAGAGGGAATATGTTTGGGGTCAATACCAGCAGAATATATTTATGGCCACCTCACTAATTAACATATAGAAAAAACCAAACCTTGTTAAGGTCATCATTTATGATTGAGATTCTCTAA